AGAGGGTTATCTTAGTAAAATTTTGAGATATTAGCAATTTTATGATTTTAGGTTAGAGTTAGTTTAGGGTTAAGTTAGAGTTAGTTTAGAATTAGTTTGGGGTTAGTTAGAGTTAGTTTAAAGTTAGTTTAGAGTTAGTTTTTAGTGTAAAATTGTGAGAGGAATATTTTTGCTTAGTTGCAAAACAGGGTTACTCTAGTAAAATTTTGAGATATTAACGATTTTATTATAGAGGAGCACAAAGTGCATGGGGCACCAACTAGTCCAGTCCAATATTATTATTATATTTAAAAATAATTTAAAATAATTATTTTTAAAAATATTATTTAAGTATAATTCTAATATTATTAAAAATATTATAAAAATATTATTATTACATTTAAAAATAGCTTAAAATAATTATTTTTAAAATATTATTAAAATAGTATTTTAATATTATTAAAAATAGTATAAAATGGTTTGATTATATTTTAAAAATAACTTAAAATAAATTTTAAAAAATGTTTTTAAAATATTATTTTATTATTATTAAAATTATTATAAAAATATTTTTATTATATTTTAAAAATAAGCTTTTTAAAAATATTTGTAAAATATTACTTTAATATTATTAAAAATATTATAAAAATATTTTTATTATATTTTAAAAATAGCTTAAATTAAATTTTTTAAAAATATTATAAAAATATAATTAAACTTGCTATTCAATTCTACTTTCTACCCAAATTCTAAACTATTATAGTTTGGGTTATTTACATCCAAATCCCAAACCCAAGCCCAAACTAATATCTCAAAAAATTTATTAATAAACTTATATAGTATATATATTGTATATCAGAATTGAATTATTGTAAACTTAGAATTCATCTATATTGATTCTGAATAAACATAAATTAAAATTGAGCTTTTTATCTAATAAGATATGAAGAAAGCTCAAATACATTATTTCAAAATTATATAATTTTAGAAAATATAGTAAATTTACAAGACCCGATTTTTCAAGATAGAGAAATTGTACAATTTGAATTTTTTACTGATATTGCAAATATAACTGATAGTATTGAAGACAATATTGACATGAACTTTAATCCTAAAGACCTTGTCAACACTGTTCTAAGTGCGCTATAATAAATACAGATTATAGTATATATAAATTCTTTTATATTTTTATTTTATTTTTTATTTTATTTTTTAATTTTTCAGCAAGTCTTGCCATGGCTTGGTTCTAGCTATTATATAGTTGCCCTTATGCTACTAGTGTTACAGAACCTCCATAACTCCATACAGGTATTATGTTTTATCCACCTGGTATTCATTGCCCAACATTCTTCGGTTCCCTCATTGGGCCTAGATCTAACTGCCTGCACAACACTCTGGAGAGGTCAAAACACCTTATACTAAACTGCTATTTCACAAGCCAATATGGTGCCACCATGATTTCATATAGTATCCTCTTAGATTTTGACCTCATATTATATCTCGTGACTTTGGTTATTCCAAATCAGGGTTCTAACATGCCTCATTTCATAGCCACAAAATCTCAGAATAACTATTTCCTAAATATGTCCATCTGTAGATATCTGAGTTCTCTGTACCCCACAGTGTTTCATTTTTGTATTCGGGTTTTCATTATTTTGCCGCTAGAAGGAATTGAACTGGCAACCTTCTGATTTGCAACCTAGGAGCATAACTGCTATGCTATCGACCCACAGGTCTAAATTCTTTTACATTAAATAGCTTTACATTAAAAATTTTAATGTGAATTTGCATATATGTATAAACAAAGTATATAAATTGATGCTTTAATTATTTTTAAACAAATATAAAAAATGTATATGATAGTATTGTTTATTTTAAAATATATGATACATTTCAATTGAAAGAGAAAAAACTTTATATTCTATAAAGGACAATTAATAAGTCATTCTCGTTTTAATGAAGTGATTCATTTTACTATTAAAAATCTTAAAAATTCATTAAAGATTTATTAATATGTTCACAATCTGAAAAGTTTTTGTACAAACAGATTTTGAGCTAAATTTAGTTTTTCATATAACAAATTATCAGTATGGTCTATTATTATAGCACATATCTAAAGTTATGACATAAGCCAATTTTATAGCATATATCTGATATTACAACAAACATCAGTTGTAGCTTTTGATATATCAATCATATTTTGAGTTATAACCATAGATGCTACAAAAAAGTTATGACATCAATCAAATTTTTGCACCTATATATAGTATTATGGTATCACATTATTACAATGCAAAGGTCTATTTGCTATAGTATTATAATACTATAACATTATGACATTACAGTATTATAATATTATATAACATTACAACATTATAGCATTGTGGCATTATGGCATTACGGCATTGTGGCTTTACGGTATTGCGGCTACAGGTAAGAATATTGATGTTATACAACTTATTTTTCACACAGTGTGCATCATATAAAAAAATAATTTTACAATATTAGATCATTCTGCAAGTACATGTTATGATTATAATCCAACATTTTTACTAATAAAAATAGTGTTGGATTATAATTATAACATGTACTTGTGGAATAATCTGGTAATGTAAAATTATTTTTTTATATAATGCACACCATGTGAAAAAATCAGTCGTATAATATTAACACTCTTATCTGTATATTGTGGCATTATAGACATAATAATTCTAATATATGGTAGAATGCCATAATGCTATAATGCTATAATTTAGTAATTCTACCGCCAACACTAGGTGAGAGCATACTTTCATATACATCATATTAGCGAATTTGCAGAATTGACCTAAATTAAGGTAATAATGCTTATGCATTTTGCAATTGTTAAATACAGAGACACTAATTTAGATCTATTTCATAAATCCACCAATATGTTTCAATTTTCACAATGTGGGTGCCAAAATTATGGCATCTATGTGGAAATATTGAATTTGTTGACCAAATTTGGGTTTCAATCAAATTCGTATATTTTGATCTATCAATTAGGGCTGGGCAAGCTATATATCCAGTACTTTTTCACTAGACACTGGACATTTCCAATTTGTCCATTGTAATGTCTAGTGAGACAGTTTATAAAAAATTTAAAAAATAAATAAATTGGTAAAAGCACAACATAAATAATAAAATATCCCTCCCCTACTCATCTCTATACTAGAACTCGTAACACTTTTACTTTTAACTGCCCATGTAACCTACCTAATCAACTACATTCTAATTCCTTTTTTTGCCCCCAGCTGGGCTTGCTAAACTTAAATTTAATATCTGGTCCACTTTGTGGATCCAGTACAGTATTCCCACTAATTATATATAACCATTCAAATCTAGGTGAGTCTTGACCACTCTAGTAGGTTTAGGTTGCAGATAAATTAGTCTGAGCTTTTATTCTTGCATATAGTTTATATTTATTCATTTATATATGAATTAAGTCTTTATTCAGTTTTGTTTCTTTATGAATAAAGATATGAGCAAGGCCTCACCTTTTAATACCAAAATATATATATATATAGATATATTATTTTTCAAACTATCTAGTATACAAATTTTTATGCCAAAATGATTTTTTGATCTATTTTTATACATTCATTCTAAACTTTATTAAGTATACTCTTATTTTCACAGATCTCCAGAAATTTTAATTTTGATTCAGCTGATATTACATATGTGCTACAGTGTCTATTTTTGGGTGGTTAAAAGTTCTAAAAGTCTTAAAGCTAGTATTGTAAATATTATAAACACTTGATTACATGTGAATATCATAGATAGAATCCTCTATTAATAAAGGGCCTTTTTACCCACTGCAATGGCAAATTACAATCGTGAAATTTCCAAAGCCATTGTCCCTTATATCTTTAATGATCTCTTTCCCAACAATCTACTAAGTTCTATAGTAGAATTGTTATTGTTGACTTGATTATTGTCTATTACTGTATTCAAATCACAATTTTTACAAAAATCTCATACATGATACAAATCCTGTGTATGATTGAATCACAAATCTGCGGAGTTCTTAATTTTTTGTGTCCAATAAAAAATGATCAAATTTATTGTTCTACTGGTAGGCATAGTTTCGAATTTGGTCCAAATTAAGCTTAATTTGGGCCAAAATATAATATTTCGAGAATTTATAGTGATTATGTTAAAGCAGGCCAGGTATAATGTTAATGCCAGTCAGATTATATGGTAATGCCGGCTATATAATTTTTATTAAAAGTCCTGCGCGGGCTCTAAAAAAATCCCGCATGGATCACACGCGTGCCTATCTCTAACTGCATTACTCCTGAGTGTTGTATTGATTTCCTTGCGTGTTGGTTTCAGTGGTTAAAGTATTGTTGACCTGAAGTTTATCACGTGATTCGTATTGTCTAAGGATTGCCGAAGCCTTAGAACTATTCCACTCGCCAAATCTAAGGCCAGACCAATTTGATTATATGTTTTACATTACCTCCATCCCCCCCTCAGAGGAGGGAGGGAGAGAGGGAGAGCTTATATATATTTATATATAAAATTAGTAACATCAATCGAACTAAAATAAACAAATTCAAATTAAACTAATACAAATAAAGTAACATCGTATTAAAAGAAACAAATAAAGTAATAGGATAGGCCTTTCTAATGTTGATGATGCGTTTGGGGTATTACTCTTTAAAGCAATAAATAAATATATATAAAAATGATTTGTATAAATCATTGCAACTAACTATTTATATATTTATTGCTTCAATGAGTAATATATAATAATAAAAATTAACACCAGAAAGACCCAATATCGAATCAAAATGTGCCTGTACGAAGCAAATTGTTAGTAGTTGCATCTCATAGAAATATCAAATTATGTCATATATACTCGATTGAGATAATCACCAGATGTCAAAATGCATATTAACTTTACTATTTTAAGTAAATGCGAATTTTAATTCCATTATTAAAGTGATCGGCAAATATTTTTTGCTCCATTGTTTTTTTTAATATGTATGACCAGTATGAATTATATTCATGTTATAGTAGAGGAACCTTCGAAAGTTTTATATGAAGCTGCCGTTAACATTGCTCATATTGTAAATAGTGGAACCTTCAATGATTTACTTTTTGAAATCACGAATGATCAATTTTTAGAAAGGAATATTCAAGTTTTTGGTCGAGAAAAAAAGAGTGATAAATGGACAATGTTGCAAGATAGACTAGATGATTATTTGCAAGCACTAGTTCAATTAGATTTTAAGATGGTTCGATTTTTACTTGAATCTAATGAGTTACAAGAAAGTATACAACCTGAATTACCAGATGTGAATGTGTTATTAATGAGTAATGCCAAACAACTTTATTTTCCTGAAAAACTAACTCGAGGAAATAATTGTGATTGTCTATATAATGATCTTATTGATCTTTTTAAAGAAAAAGGTGGAGGGTGGTTTGCTGGAAGTCAAAATACAAGAGGCAAATTGTTTTTAGAACATTTATCTAGTGCAATTTGGTATGTTGATCCACATATCAAATTATTAAAAAGTCGCTCATGTCATATGCCTACTTTATTTCTACAGCTGCCAGTTTACAAATCAAATTCTATTTACAATATATTTTATTTTAAATCACATCACAAAAAAGAAAAACTTTCTTGCCAAAAACTACTTGAGCATTGCAAATCTATTGAATATAGTGTGAGCGAAATATGAGCAAGTAAAGAATGTTGGGCACAAATTATTCCTGAAATTTTTAATTTTGTTGCTATGATGCGAAAATATGCAGACCATTTGCAAAAGTTATCCCAACTTACTAATAATTCTTATAATTCTACTGAATTGGTTCGTATGCCTAGTAAAAATTGTAGTCTTAAAACAATTTTAGGTAGTTTAAATATTAATTCTAACTATAAAGAATTACAAAAAAATCTTGCTACAAAAGATCCTTATAGTTTTATTGAAATTTTTGAGTTTCTTCCATCTCAATGTATTGAGCGTCATAAATAGATTTTAGAATTAAAATTATCTTTTCCAATATGTTTATATAGGTATTTATTTTGTTTAATTTTTATTTATTAAAATAAAATTAGTAAGTTTTTATATATTTTATATAGATATAATCAAGGAACTTATCTTGGAAATCTTAATTATGTATGGCGAATTAGTGAATCAAATTCTGAACATGAAACTCGTAATGCTCAAACTATTGCAGCAATTAATAAAATTATTCCACAATATATAACTCAAATAATAAGAAAAAATGTTATAAACAAAGTTAAGTAATTAAAGATTAATTTATTTTGTTAATTGTATACTTACTTATTATTTTTATTTATTAGTATTCATTAGTAAAAACTTTAAATCCAAGTATTCTTAATATGCTGTATTGTGATCTTACTGGCAATACATCTACTTTTAATGATATTAGTAAAGATATACAAGAATATTTAAAATTAATGTTAGAATTTGAAGATCCAAATATTATTGTTGATCTTAGAACAAATAATGAATTTAAAGGATCAAAATTTGACATATTTTGGTCAGAATTGCAAGCTTACTTTAATGAGGTATTTTATACTATTAATAATTTGAAATTGATTATATGGGCTGCCGTCAATAGAAATAAAGCAGATTGACATTTTAAAAAAAATAAATATCTTAACTTTAACAGCTGATATATTGATAGATTTTGAATCTATTTTAATGACTTATTATTCAAAAGAAAGCATACGATCTAAGCTTTCTTTTGAATATTAAATCATCAATATAGGCTTAAAATTCATCAAGATAAGAGATGTAAAGTTAAGGCATTAATTTTTTTTAAAATGTCAATCTGCCTTATTTCTATTGACGGCACCCTATATATTATTTACTAGTATATATACACAAGTATTAATTAATTAGTATAATCTATAAGTTATAACCCGAAAATTAAACTAATTTAAGGTTTGGATTAAAAGAAATTATAGTTTATATTAAAATTTGTAATAAGTATTTTTTGTTAAAACCCGAAGAGTGGTTTTATATATAAGCAAAATTTTGAATTATTAAATATTCTTGTGTATATATATTGGTGTATAAATAGAAATTATCTAATAACTTACAATAAATTTTATTATTAATTTATTATATTTATTTAGAATACTCCAGCTATAGATGACAGATGTCATGAAACTATTTTATATTTGCCATGTTTTATTTCTGTACGTGATCTTTGAGAAACAATTATTTCTCGTCTTAAACTTCAATATAATGATCCTCTTCCAGAAACAATTTATATACCAAGTATTGAGTGGATTCGATTGCAATTTTGACCAAAAAACTCAACAACAAATCGTGCAATGCAATATACAGGTAAATTTGAAATTAAATATAAAGTTCAAAGTAGACAACTTCGGAAATTTCATCCTGATGCATATTATTGTGCTGCATATTTTAGATATTTACGTGAGTTTGCAATTTTATATAGGGAATTTGTATGTTTTATATCTGCTGATGATAAACATAAAATTCTAATTGGAGAAAAAATTCATACATCTACTAATGTTCGAAATCGACCAACTATAGCATTAGTAAATAGTTAGCTTTCAGCATGTGATCATGATTTTACTAAATTATCAATTACTCCTTCAGTTATTTTTTATTGTAATGTTCCAAATAATATTTCAGATTCTTTTTATAGTGGAGATGTTTATGTAGGATATAAAAATACTATATTTGAAAGTAGTAATGCAATTCACCATGCAACAGAATTTTTTCAGACTATTAGTCTAAAATTTTCTAATGAAATCCCGCCAATTTTATGTTTATATACTGATGGTGGTCCTGATCATAGAACAAATTTTGGATCAGTTCAAATTTCACTTATTTTATTATTTTTTAAAGGTAATTTTGATATGGTTATTGCTATGAGAACTGCGCCCTATTATAGTTGGGCAAATCCAGCAGAAAAAATTATGTCTATTCTTAATTTAGGATTACAAAATATTTCTTTAGCACGTAATGAGCTTAGTTTAAAACAAGAAAAAATTTTTAAACAATTAGATACTATTGAAGCAATTCGAAAAGCTACAGAAAATAATAATCTTTTAAAAAAAGAGTTAAAAGATAGTATTATAAATATACAAAATCTTTTAAATGAAAGAACTACATGGTTAGTTTTAAATAATAGTTCATTTAAAAGTTTTGATCCTGCATTCGAAGATGATATAAACGATTTATTTAAAGTTAAGTATTTTATATATATATATATTTTTTTTCTTATAAAAAATTAACAATGTTTTTAATTTAGGAAATGGAAAATATTGACGATACTCTTCAAATAAATGAAACAACTTGGGCAGAGTTACGAAAACATAAAAAATTAATGGAATTTTTAAATTCACATTGCCAACAAAGATTATATTCATTTCAGGTTTGGTTTTTTAAAATTTACATTATCAATAAAGATCAGGTTTAATTTTTTAATATAATTTTTTAATTTATTTAAAGATAAAAAAGTGTACGCAATATGGTTGTTCTTTTTGTAAATCTATTAGAATGCCACTTGAAAAGTTTGATTCGCTTAACTTTTTACCAGATCCTATTCCATCTATAGATGGTTTGTTTTAAGTTTTTTATTTACCGATGCATTTAACTTAATTACTTTTTCAATATAGATTCAAATCACCATAGCTTATTTAATTCCTTGTATGGAAATAAAACGAATGAAGATTATTGTCCCTCTTTATTAATAAATCAAGAAGGACAAGAACGTGGTCCTAATAATCTTTATACCCATAAAAATATCAATGGATGGGTGAAATGTACAGTATGTGGAAAATGGCAATGTCTTTATAGTTTAAATTCACTTGACGAAGATGAAGAATTACAATGGCAATTGGCTATTCAAATTTTTTTTTATACTTGTGGAGGACCAATCTTAGATGAGGATCATTTATTATATAACACTCTCTTTGTTCGTGAACACATATCTTGCAACTCACCTATTGAAACAACTTAATATTCATGCAAAAAGGGAGATCAAATTCAACTATGTTATTGGTGCGGAGCAATGGATGGCTTATTGGAATTGCCAACTGCATTAACAAATAGATTTAAAAAAGTTTATCCATGTTGTATGATATGTAAAGAATTGGGAAAAGATCATTTTGCTCAAATTGAAGTTAAGACTAGTAAATCTTAAAAAAGACCGGCAAATAATTAAATTTTAATTCTTTTATAATATTTTATTATAAGATATATATAAACATTTTATAAAATAATTTTTTTTTTAAAACACAGGCAATAATAAAAATTCTATATATTTTTAATAAGAGAGAGGGGGGGAGGCTCAGATGAGGGGGGGTAATGTAAAACACATAATTAAATTGGTCTGGCCTAAGCGTCTCTTTCGATAGGCTATCTTGTTAGCCTTGGTGGTTGTTTGTTTGATTTTAGTGTATTTCCGTTAGACCATATTTCCCGTGTAACATTATACAGATCTACCTTATTTCACCGACAATTATTTCACCACAACTCACTTAGCCGACATTACGCCAAGTGACAATTTACTAAAATATATACCTGCAATTCATAAAACACCAATCCTAACCCTATGTGATAAGTAAACTTTCGGTTAAATGATTGGTGGTTAATATTAAGTGAACAGCACCGCATTATACATGTTGCAGATCATCACGTCTAAGTACTCTAGCCGCGATGAATTTTTTCAACATTGAGAAAAAAATATCCCAATCAGGGCCACCAGCCGTTAAAAGCAAAAATAGCTAGCAAAATTCGCTAGTAAAAATAGCAAAATTAGTAAAATAGCAAAAAAAAATTTTTATTATAAATTTATATTTTGTATATTCTAACAACTATTCATCAATATCATCATTAAAATCCTGTCCATTGAAGTACAAAAAGTTTAATCTAGCTATATTTTTTTCAGTAAGAGCTCTTCGCCTATCATCTAAAATATGCTTGTAATTTGAAAATGAACGTTCAACATCTACTCCCGAAGCGGAACCCAAATATAAACAAGAGAAATTTTTGAAAGGATAGGTAAAGTATACGATTTATCCTTCCAAAATTTTTCCAAATCAAATCCGGTAGTAATCTCAAAATTTTCTATCATATTGCAATATATATTCCATTCATCAATTAATTGATTAGATGGATTTTTAAATTCAAAAATATCAGTATAAATTGATAAATCATGTCATGAAGCATCTTCACAAATATATCGGGGATTAAAACATTGAATACTTTTAAAAAATGGTAGTGCGTTATGTTGTTGAGTATGTTTTACGAATTTTTTATATGCCAAGTTAAATGCTTCCCCAAAAATTCTTTTATAGTAATTGATATTCAATCGTTTTCGGCCTATATAGATCATCATCTCACTTGAGAATGGCGGAGTAGTAATTCCATTTTGAAGCATTTCATGCATATTCTGGATTCGTGAGTAAACATTTGGTGCAATCGGGATATTTCTTGTCTGAAAGAAATCTAAATCATGTACTAATCTAAAAAAAAAAATATTATATATGTATTGTATATAAATTTAATCGATCAATTATATAATTATACGTACTGTTTTCCATTAAATGTAATGAACATAATAATTAATTCAACTTGAATAACTATTTCTGGTTTAGAAAACCAGTTAGCAAGATTAATAATAGCTTTTGAAGGGTCGGGAAGATCCCTTTCTTTTTGGTAAAATGAAATTAAGTATCTTAAATACGGCTTCATCCAAATAATAAATCGGAACCAAGAAAACCAACGAGTTTTTACAGGGGACGGAGGTAATGTTAATTGAATATCTTCATCATCTGATGCATATAAGGAAAGATGGTTTAACCATCGCCTTTTTCTAGAGGATGAATAAACAAAAGTAGATTTGATAGCAGTAACAATATTATCTATAATTTGAAAATTTTCGTATTCAAGCCAAGTATTTCCAACTAAATTATAAATATGTGCAAAACAGGTATTATGCCGCATTCGCGGAATTAATGGTGACAAAATATTTGAAAATGATTTTTTCATATAGGCTGCATTGTCACTAATATATAAAATAATATTATCAAATGACAAGCAATAATATGAAATTGTAGAAACAACTAATTGCGAAATAGTAGTAGAATTAACTTCGGTAAGAAATTCTGTTTTTACGAGTTTTGTCAATTTTCCAAAGCTAAAAAGTATATTGACAACACTTCTTCCACATTCGTCTGTCGTTTCATCTACTGTAATACAAACTTTTTTGTCTTGAAGTAAAATATGTAATTTTTCTAATTCGATATCATAGACAAGAGGAAGATATCGTTCACGAAGTTGACTAGCACCTACAACTGAACCACCTAATAAACTAAATTATTAATATATTTAATATTTATAAATTTACAAGCAAAAATAGTAAGTATACCATTAATACAATGTTTTTGAAAAAACAGCTTTAGTTTTTTGATTTTCTCTAGAGGAACATCTGCTTTAGTAAAAGCTTTAATAATATCAATATTTATTTCTTGCTTATCAGTTATTTGAGATTGTAGCTCAGTTAAATTTCGGGTTGATACAATTTCATTAATTTCACTTGATTCGGCAATTTTTTTTTTGCCTTTCATGTTTATTAGTTTTTAAATGTGAATCTAAATTATGTTTTTTTCGGTGATCAACTTGACATTTACAAAAGGAACAATAAAATTTTCCTTCGCTTTCGTAAAAATCATCCTTGTATTTAGGGTATCTATCTAAAAGTGAAATAATTCGTGGCATTTTTTTTAAAAAAAACGTTCATTTGACTCTAGAAAAATTATTTAAATTGATTCTTTTACTATCGCTATTATTACGAATTGTAATTGTTCATCAATTGAAGAACAAAAGCAATAGTCACGTGTTTAATGCAAAAATTGCAAAAATTGCATCTTAGCACCTAACAATGCCGCTAGCTATTTCGATCAATAATAGCGCTATTTTAGATGCTACTAAAATCCGATGACTCTGATCCCAATAACTATTTATTTAAGACAATAACATTTTTTTTTTTATATTAATTCTATGAATATATAGAATTAAAATAAAAAAAAATTTAACAATTTTAGCTATATAATTATCGAAAAAAACTTGGCCGTTGTTCGTTTTGATAATCGCCTAAATTTTTTTGAACTTCGAGCGATGTTATCTCAATAACTGCTTGAATTAAAAAATTTTTATCGATTTTAAATAGGTAGTTATTATCAAAAACCGTAGTCAAGTTTTTTTTCATACTTTAAGTGATACTAAAATCGATGATTTTTTTTTTTTTTTATTCTATGGAGTCGTAGAATTAACAATAAATACTTTCATCGAATTTGGACAAGTATTTATTGAGTTATCATTACAAAGTCAAAAAATTTAGGCAATTATCAAAACAAACCACGGCCAAGATTTTTTTTCAATAATTATATATCTAAAATTGTTAAATTTTTTTATTTTAATTTTATAGATTCATAAAATTAAAATTAAAAAAGAATTTATTTGTCTCAAATAAATAGTTATTTAGTTATTTTTCCTCAAAATTGAAAAAATTCATTGCGGCTAGAGTACTTAGATTACATGATGAGCACAGAATGAATCCTCGAATTTTTCAGGTCACATGACCGATCATTTTTAAACAATCGAAAAGCATTGCACGCATGTTATACATATTAATTGGAGCATCTAGCTAATTATGCTAGATATTAACTTTATTG